ACACACACACACACACACACATATATGTGACTGAATTGTGACCACGGGATGCTATCATGGTTGTAAGTGTGAAAAACAGTTATAAGTCACTGTTTTCAGTGATGTAATTTTGAACAGTCACTAAATGAACTGTTGTAAGCTGAGGAGTAAGTACCTGTATAATCCTTAGTTCTGTTTCTGAACAAAACCACGTTACAATCAGATGTCTGTTTTCCCATTCTATGTTGAAAAGATGACAGAAGTCTAAGAACCTCTTAGCAAAATCAAACCTTTATTTCTAGGAATAATTTGGAGGACTTGAAGCAAGAAGCCACTTGTTTTTACTGTTTGTTTTTGTTTTTATTTGGTTTTACCATTTTGTTCTCCAGGAAATTCCTATGCCCTCATTGGCTCTGAATGGTGTTGGGGGGAAAAGTGCTACTGAGCTGATGCGTCACTTGAGGTAAATTTAGCTTTTGTTTCCTCGAATTATATCTGTGGTAATTGTTACACTCGATTTAAATGCTTAATGGGCAGTGTGTCTTTAATTTTCATTTGGGTTGTGAGTTGTCTAAGAACGAGTACTTTTTGAAGCATGACATAGACAGGCCCTTGAATTTTGCTAGTATGGATTAGTGCAAGGATTTGCTGTTTAATGGGGCAGATTTGTACTGTCTGAATTCTTGTCTTGAAGTTGACAAGTGTGCAATTGTATTGAATACTGTCCAAAACGCTTGGCTCATGTGGCATTTAAGAAAGAAATTAAGAGGTGCTTAAAAATCCTCATGACAAACCTACTTGCCCAGCTAGAAAGCTGCCAAATGTCAGTCAGGGTTGAAGGATTTTGCGCTGTGTCTAAAAAAATACTGAAACTTTATAATTTCAGTAAAACCCAGATCCACAGCTCTGGAATAGTCAGGATAGATCCTGGTATCATCATTTCACTGTAGTAAGATGAATTTACTGTGTCTTAAGAGCTATGGTGGCCCAGTGGTGAGAATGCAGTACTGCAGGCAATTCTGCTAACTGCTGGCTGCCTGCAATTTGGCAATTCGAATCTCACCAGGCTCAAGGTTGACTCAGCCTTCCATCATTCTGAGGTCTGTAAAATGAGGACCCAGACTGTGAGGGCAATATGCTGACTCTGTAAACCGCTTAGAGAGGGCTGAAAGCCCTATGAAGTGGTATATAAGTCTAACTGC